AAAAACATTCACCAGTTAAATTCATAACACTACCTCGTACAAAGCCATAAACACAACAGTCATCCAAGGTGTGAAACGGAATGAGATACAGCATTTTAGTACTTTCTGAAAATAAGTTTTTTACACGCCACTTTGACTAAGCCAAGCTGGTTTCTCACTTTTATTTGTACTCATCTAATAAACTGTAACATCACCTCGCATTCAATAGGCATTGTTATATCAACTGTTTAGTACTGCTTTGATATAATTCCCTTGACTGAAAGTCTTGGATCATACAAACGAAATGTCCATCCGACCAGCAGTAGATGAGGGACATCGTCATACGCGTCCTCCCGAGCACTAGCGACAAAAAAGAATTTCCCCACTTTTGTGTCTAAAAAGCCGAGAAGTCCGGCTATTGGTTGACTAACCATTTAAAAGCCGAAGAATCCATGCAACCGAACATGGGCTTTTGGTTGCAAAATTTAATTAATTATTTGCCAATTATTGATTAATAATTGGCATTTCCCACTGTGAAGCAAGCATTTGACAGCTTTGGTGTCACCGAGAAAACGATCCGAAATTAAATTTCGCACATTTTATATCCTAGCAACAGCTTTGTACGATGTAATCTTCAATGAGTTTCCTCTCATTTATAGTACACCTACTGAAGAGTCACGCATATACATCTGAGATTTATACGCCTCTGCTTGACAAGGATACGACTTTTTCCATTTTTGCCTGTTTTCGCTGAGAAGAACAGAAAAATGACCATAACATCTGAACAAAGAGGCGTCAGTCAGAATTCTAGTCGGAAACGGACTTTCAGTCGAGGGTCAGTAAATCGAAGATGAATGTTACTTGTGGTATCCCAGTGAGTCGTAGTATTCATTCATTTTCACGCATTTGATGACTGTTCTGCCTGTAGTTTTGTACGCGGTAGCGTTATGATTTTTATTGGTGGATATTTTTATTATTTATATTTGGTTTGATTTTGATATTTTGGCTAAATATTTGAATAACAATTCATTGATGTTGAAATGCACTATTTGTGTATACAATGTTCTTTTGACTGCACTTGATGTAAGTCATAACTGAGTTTTGTGAGATGAGATGGGGACTAATTAAGTGATCGTGTCTGTTGTTTTAGGTGTGTGCAATAAGTTATTTTTGTTGATCAGCAAAAATAATTAAACGACATGCATAATATCTTAAAAATTCTATTCGAGTGTGCAGATAAATTTGATTTTTTTGTATATTCATTTCTCTTTAAATAAAGATTTGACTGACTTTTGTTTCCAAAGAAGGAAAAGAGGAGGACCGTTACGGTCGTTTCCTGATCAAAAAAAGTTTTGCATTTTTTGCATTGGAACTATGTCAGACCATGCCTAGTAACATTTCCAAACACTGAGTTTCGCGAAATCTCTCGAATGAGGTCTGAGGTTCACTATAGGGTTTTCGGAAAACTTTTCATTTTTGATTTTTTTCAAACCTATTTGGTAATATGAAACCGACCGCACCAATCATAAATATCGCTATTAGAAGTGTCGGAAAAGTTATGGTAAGAAAAAACCTTAAATTTAGGCCAATTTTCTCTTTCTTCGAAAAATGGGTCTTTCGATGCGGTCATCTTTCTGCTGAAATTAGCAATTTCATTCCAAAGTAAGTAATAACGTATGAATAGTGGGAGAAGGAGAACAGTTGACGATTTTTATCATATCGTAAAGCTAAATATCATTCGGGTAATTGAGTGACAAGTGTAAAGAAATGTTTCATTAACTGTTCAAGAATAGTTTATTGTAATTATTTATTTTAAGAAAAAAATGAAAAATCACAGCTACCACCTTGAACAATCTTTTTCTTGTTAATGATAAGAGTAGGCGAATTCATGTTGTTCGCGTAAGAAAAGTAATGAATATGACTCTGTCATTCACTAGCAGCAATGAGAATTATTTCTCCTAATGCGTAAATTTGAACCGATTTTGCCTCTTACCGACTCTTTCTGTCATTTTTTGCCAGAGTTTGAGCTCGTATAATGTTTTCAAAATTACCCATGAATGTAAAAGAACAATTGTTTTCACGGAGCAGCTTCGGAAACGTTCAGATATCTGCTTTTTTCGTAAGACTACTGCAGCTTCGTTAACTACACTGGAACTACTGCTATATGTAATTAAAAAAAATTGATTATTTTATGTAGATAATCAGCTTTTTGCTGTAGAGAGTCTCGCTTAACCGGTGACCACAAGCTGTTTCACAATTAGAAACTGATTGAAAGTGACCGCACCATTCGCTCATATTTAATATCAAATAATAAAAAATTCATCGTTGTTGATAAATCTTCAGACTCGTAATTCAGTAGAATAAGGTTTTAGCAGCACAATAACATGATTTTCGACAAGGAAGGCCTTAGTAGAGGTCTAGTCGCTGATATTCTTTCCAAGAGCACATATTTAAAGAATCTAGTTGAAAATACGTAAGTCATACGAGATCAGAAGATCATAAAGGCAGGCAGTAAGTACTTTGTTTACTAAAATGAAATTAGGTAGTATAATATTATGCTTTCTGCCTTCTTTTATCGCTGATCAATGAAAAAATGTCATACTTCTCTTTGAACATAACAAATCTTGCCAAAGACAAAGGGAGTCTTTTATTCTTTTGGATCGCAGTTCAGACAAGGTCATCTGTTTACTCATAGGTGTTCTATTACTTGGAAAGAGTGTTATAGTATGGCTGCTTCTTGATGACATTTTGTAATACATTTCCTGGCTAGATTTATGGTCTAACATAGAAATTACAAAACTTCAGAGTATTTTTTTATCATATATTCTCACTCATCATCCACTACATCTAAAGCGCTTTGAGAAACTATAATAATCATCCATTTGAATGTCAGTTTTCAAACACAAAAATATTATATTACGTTTATTCGTATTTTAATAAAAATCTACATAGAATGATGAAATACATCGCAGACAGTCAGTCTCCATCCTCATTAAATGTTCAAGGATAGTTTATTGTAATTATTTATTTTAAGAAAAAAATGAAAAATAGTAGATGCCAAATTGAACAAACAATTTTTTTCTTGTTAATGATAAGCGTAGGCAAATTCATGTTGTTTACTTAAGAAAAATAATGAATATGACTTTGTGAATAATGAGAATTATTTCTCCTAATGATTGAATTATTTTTCCTTCTGACACCACTGGTATATAAGAAAAAATCTAGAATCAAACTCAATCTTTTTCATTTCTTGTTAACCGGGTTGTTCATGTATAGCCGTGAGTCCGTTTATATTTTCTTCTAATCGATTATACTATGGTGTGGTAATGGAAATTGAGACAGAGTGGAGAACATCTCATTTTCAAGAGTAAACATTTTTTCTTTAATTGAGAATTAAATAAACTCTGATAACTCAGACCGCTTTAGTCATAAGGGATTTTATATGATACGAGAGAAGATCCTAATAGTATTGGTAGTTTTTAATTCTGGTCTAAGCTCGGCATCATCTGGTAAAAAGGAAGATATTTTGAAGTTATAGGAGTAGTATCATCGATCAACATAAAGCATTATGTGTTAAGCGCTTCCGAAGATTTGACGAATTTCAAAGTACAAGCACATACTTCTGATTCAAGTCGTATAAATAAATTTCTTTGTTAAAACACCGTTAATTTTATTTTATATCTCGAATCATTTTTCTAATATATTCTTCTGCGCAAACATAACGGTGATTTTTCGAAAAATTGAAAACACAAACATCTAACAATTGAATTGAGTATATTATGTACAACGTTTTGGAACAGTAGCTGATAAAATAAAGCAGCAAAAGTACCGTTACCATGAAATAAAAGAGCAGAATCTACTCGATCATTTCTCTCTGGAAAAACATAAAGAATTTCTGTAGCAAATCGATGATTATCAAGATGGTCTTCTGTTTCATTCGGCATATTTTTATCATTGGTACAAAGGCTACGTTCTTTCAATTTATGTAATGATATATCACTGTGGTGTGTATCTAATAGTTTTAATTTTCTACTAACTAATCGTTATCGCCGTTTTGTCGACGGTTTTTGAGCTATGGATGTTGATGTTGATTCGGTTAAATCTTCATTATTCGAATAATCAGATTCATCATTGTGAATACTAGAAAGAGGTTGTTGGTCATCATTTTCAACACTAGCAGTTCGTATCACCATTACTACTATCGAATCAAAATTAATTTTTATAACGTCATTCGTCTGTTGTTTCAATAGTATTAATTTTTATCAGAAGAATTAACGGAACTGTCTGAATCTGAGAATTCATTATTACCAGAATCACTAGTTGGTAGTAAATGTAATTGTGTATTATTTGTACCCGTACAGATTTTTTGTTAAAGTTTCATCTTGATTTTAGAAAAAGTATTTCTTAAAAGTCTCCTAACTGGTTATAATAGGTTCTTCTTCGAAAAAAAAACTGATTACAGAAGAAATAGAAAAGATGAACAGTGTCTTCATAGCTCATTTTGTAGAAAAGCGTTTGCTCTACAAATTTCAGTTGTCAGAAACATCTTGATATGTGTATTATTCATGCGATTCACTTTAGGAAAACGTAGTTAGTAGTTAGCAGCATACTTTTTTTGGATACGATAAAATCTGTTTTATACAGTGAGAAGAAAGAAAAAAATCATCTGTGTACATACTTCTTCATACGTACTTAATGGTTTTAATCGAAACATCGTTTTGTACAGCAGTATAACTGACATTTTCCCCAAAAATATCCTGAAAAAGGGGTCTGGTACTTCAACTTTTACACGATAAGGTAGAGGAGGGCCTTCTAATGTGTCAACCTCTTTACTGTAAAATAATCGTGTTATCTGTCATAATAGACTCGTGTATATCTGCGCTCACAGTGCTTTGTTCCGATGTCAGGCATCAATACTATTGTTTAGTTCAGGATTGTCTTCTACTCAATGTAGTTTTAAGTTATGTGCCAAGGTGCTCATCTCTTTTAAACGTATAATCGTGATTTTTAGACATTGATAGATGCTCATACGTAACATAATGCCAAAATCGATCGTTTTTCTTATCTTAATCTTAGAAGCTTGTCTGATTAATGCACTAACACCCAACGGGAACAGCTATGATGATCACGGCGTTAAATTAGCTGCAAACGACTACATGATCGTCGAAGCTCAAAATAATTTGTCACAATTTTCTGTTCAGTTTTACAATAGTCAATTGACACTGTTTGAGAAATACTGTTCGATACCGTATGACAAAACGTCTGCAATTTACGACGAACCACCTGTTTGGATAAACGATGGTATGTTCTGGGACTACGGTTATTATTATACAAATATAGGAGGTATATATAAATGGCAGCCTAATATCACATATATAAATACATCACATTGGAGTCAAAGTACTGTTTCTTCCACATCAGATGATTTTATTTACAGTGTTGCAGTCGGTAAACACCAAAATGCAGGACAATCGTATTTTGTCTTTGTGGGTATAAATCTGAACACATCTTTATATGGCCCATATCGTGGTCCATTTATCGGATCGGTCGAGATCGATTCCACCACATGCGGATCCAATTATGACATAAAACTTTTGCCTTTTGTACAACCTGAAGAATTTTTTGTCGTAGGAATTGATCTCAATGGAACTCTTGCTTACGGCTTTGCTACCAGTTTCATTGTCCTCTACGATCCCAATGCGAAGGTCAATGTCTCTTGGTCAAGTCAAGAAACATGGAAGGACGCCTTCTCTCCACATGCGGTTGAAATCGGAGACGGTTTTGCGGTTGTTGCTGGATTTCTGAACGGTGGGGATAAATACACTCCCGTTGTTTATCTGTTAACTCTTCATTCGTGTCTCAGTGTCCTCAACTGGACTTGTATGCAACAAAATGGTAAGGTGATCTACCCTTATACTCCAAATTCGTGGCAATGGCGTATAGCTCTGAGTACTAGTAACCCATCGGACACGTACGATCCTATGTACGACTTCTCTATCTCTATAAATGATGCGGGAGCTGTTCTTGTTGGAATGCAGTTTCTCAACACTGTCTATCTTTTCAATGTCTTAAATAGTACAATACTTAGTCTAGTGAGTAGTCGAACAAACGGTATCATACCAATGATTGGCTTCGGTAAGGCAGTGGCGTGGTGTGATTCAAATACAGCCGTTATACTATCGAATAACTATTCAACAGATTATCTCACTTGGCGATCGACACAAATTGAAATATATGAAATAAGCAACGGTTTCAGTAGTACCACTGATCCTTTTTCATTCTTTCCTACTACTCAACAGCCATTGTGGACAAAAATGAATCCCATATTTCTTACTATCGTCTCCACTGCAACCTCCGTCATTTTTCAAGACATATCTGGTCAAGTATACGTCCTCTTCTCGGCAGAAACGGGGCAATTCGCGGACACATCAATCGGTATTTCCACCGATGCAGCATCCCCAATCTACTTCTCATCGGTTATCTACTGTCTTGCTGGCACATATAAGAATAGTTCAGGTGGTAGTAAGGACATGTTTCGAACCTGTCGCCTATGTCCTTTCGGAACGTATAATCCTGGTATTATTTTAAATACTAGTATTGATTGTGCACCGTGTGACAACGAAACAATGCTTTGTCCACTTGGAGCTGTTGCTGAAACTGATCCATCCGAACTGTATGAAGTGAGTCAATCTACGACTTATCCTCAGTCTCCAGAGAACACAGTTTTTGACGATATCTTAATGCAAAATATGTTTAACGTCGATTTTTCAAATTGTTTAATGCTTTCTCCATTTTTCTGGTCTGCTGTTATGATTGGATTTGCCGGTGTAATGCTTATGTTGATGGGAGCATTGAAATTTTCGGTCAAATGTAAAAAGTTTCGACAACTATTCAAGCGAATTTTTCGTCAAACAGATTTGATAGGTGAGGGAGAACTATGGATAGGTGGATTGTTATCATTTTCGATTATTGTTCTGGCTGTGTTTGCTTATATGTTCAGTGATTCGTATTTGAGGCAGTATCCAATCGAAAACGTTGGAGACGCCAATTTCTCATGTGATAAAACGCTGCGAAATGCGAAATTCAGCACGAGTATGCAGTCACTGGGAACACCTCCGACTGAGGAGCTGAATGTCATCTTCGACATGTTGGATAATCAAAACTTTACGTTGCATGTCGCATTTATTAATACTGTCCTCAATTATGATAGTTTGACCGTGACCCAGTACACAGGGTCTATTCCGTCTTCTCCAGATAAAGTCGGTTCCAGTAATAATAAAACGATGTACGTTGCTGTTAATGTGACATCTCATCTGTTCAGTATTCAATTTAACACCAGTAGCTCGAATACTACTGGAGTAATTCGTGTTGGCCTCACTGGTGATGCTATTTCCAATGGATCGTATTATGTTCGAAAATTAGAATTCTATCAATCGTACTACGTGGACAATCGAACGCTGACACAGGATCCCACTATTAGCATAGAACTCATCAAAGTCATTAATCAAACTGAACCTCTTTTTTCGACGCAGACAGTTAACTACAGTGGGCTGTGGATACCAACATGGGGTTACAATAAAGACGCTGCATTCTACACGGAGGAACAATACAATCAGTTTCATACTCAACCCGCAACAATATTAACAATTACATTGTCGGAATCAACCTACTACATTTTGAATGTCCAAGAACCAATTGCTAAACAGGCTGAAATCATTTTTCACTGTCTTCTATTTACGATTGTCTGTTTGGAAATCTATGGTCTAGTATTTGTGATATTCAAACTGATTCTCCTGTCTATATTTGAAGCTATAGTAAAACGTTTCTTTCCATCGAATAAAGTTGGAGTCATCGAAGAAACTGTAGAACTTGAATGTCCAAAGCAGCCCACTATGACTGGAAGAAAATGGTATGAATATAAGAAAACTGACATGGAGCGAAAATGGTACAAACAAGAAGGATCAGAAATATGGGTTACAAATGAAAAGGCTACGATACAACCTTCTAGAAGAAAAGGATGGCCATTAAGCTGGACGCGCAAGTCATCAAAGCCAGTGGCACTGTCAAATATTTCAACCTAGTTAGTCAGTCAATCTGATGTTCATACGTCGTGGTATAAATAAGAACGAATTTATTGCTTGTTCAAGACTCTTTTATTTGTGCTTTTCTTCTTGTAATTCTAATGGATTTATTTATGGTAAATAATTGATGTAATTGATGAACATTTTTTCATTGAATGTCAATGAATGTTTAACAAGACGGTTCACATGGTGAGTAACGATTTTAAACTGTATCAGAAAGACGCATTTCACTATATAACAAAAGTTTCTAGACAAAGTGTATGAGCATTTTTCTTCCTCTTAAAATCGTTTCTGATAGATCAGGCGAGCGTTTTAAAATCTATAAACAAAGAATTCAAATCTATCACCAAAAGGTTTTTAATATCGTTCGTTTTGGAAGTAACTAAAAGATGTAGAAAAGCTCGAAATTTAAGACTTTTTATCAAGTTTTAACATGAGAAGGTAGCATTGAGTCATGTACAGTTTTTAAGCAGAAAACTAAAAAAGTTCATTTGTGTTAAGTAGGAGAAAAATGTCTTTTTTCATACAGAATATTCATTTCCCGCCCATTGTTACAAAATGAAAATTTTTTTTCTACTAATATGAACTAATGAAAATAAAGAAAAATACCTGCCATTAGATGTAACTTTCGAAGCTCTATCCACCTAAATGTAAATTATTGCATTTGATCAATGGATCAAAACTGAGGTAAAAACCGGAGACGAACCTCAAACACAGTGCCTGTCGAAAACGCGTGTGAAACCATACAAAAAAACATCGCAGGGAGCTCGTCGACGTCTCGTTTTGTAGGAAGATGTTTGTTCTATGTCTCTAATGACTCAACAAAATTTTGTATATTCAGATCTTTGAGATTTGTATCAAAAATTTAGAAAAGTAAGAAAATGATCAAACCTATGTCTATCTCCAATATTTGGTATAAAAGTACATCATACTGGTGTTTTAACATGTTCTATTATATATGAATTGATGTAGAAGTACTTGCTCTACAAAATGAAGTAAGATTTCCTTTGGGACTGCCATATGCATGACCCATATTGAAAAAGTACTGAAAAAAATAATTTTAAAAATATAGAATTTTTAATTTCTATTATTTAGTCCTAGATAGTTAAACATATTATTATGTCTGAATACATGAACTTATAGAGTAAATAACCCTCTTTTAAATGAGCTATAAACTAATCATAGGGATCTGATAGTTTTTGAGAAAACAGGAAAATACTAGACTTCGTGAAAAGTCACGTTTTTTGGTAACACGAGTGATCCCCAATAGAATGTTTGGCCTATAACTGTTTTTTAAAAAGCACTTTCAGAAAGAGTTATTGCAGGGTTAGTGTTTATTTTGTATCCTCTTTCAAATAAGACATGAATAAGAATAAAATAAAATTTACCGAAGGATAGTTTTATGGTGATACCTAGACCTTTTTTCTGGCAAAAGCTCTCTTAATGCATTTTAATGCCTTAAAAATACTTCGGGAACTCCAAGACTTTCATGCGTTCGAATGCCTTATGTTTTGACGTCTGAGAAGAGGTAGAGCCCCAAAAGTTTTCTAAAGACGTTAGAGTGGCTCAGAACTTCATACATTATAGGAGTTGACGAAAAATAATGCATTTGAACGGTTTCAGTTCTTCTGAATAACTCCAAAGAACGCGTTAAAACATCAGAGGTTTTAACGCATTGACCTACGAGCGGAGGACCTGCGACAGTTCACAATTTCTTTCTGAAAGTACTGACTTACTCAATAAATGTCTTGCAAAAATATGAATGAAAAGATGGACAATAATACAGGTATATTGGGATCAATTTATTGATTATATGAATGCGTAGGTCGATCTCTAAATGAATTTTAATATACCTAAAGCAAAGACAAAATTCTATCGAATATTTAAATATTTTCTACAAGTTGTTCTAGAGAACACTAAACAATTTATGTGTCAGTGTACCAAGATGGAGAAAAAAACTTGAGTTCTGTTTTTGATATATCTCTTTTACTGTTGATGGTGGAATTGACAGTTTAAACTCCATTCGAAAGAGCAGGTATTCTTGATCATTACGATATATAAAAATAACTGATACAGACGACTGCTCGAGTTATGTAAAAGGATTTTTCCCTGTCGTCTCAAAGGACTGTATTTCTCGCTTACCAACAACGGCATTGAACATTTGGAACCCTTAAGCTTTTACTGCACGTGTCATAGCTGTGGGTTTGAAATTTAAAGGATTAACAGATGGGCCAGAAAAAATGAAGCATTTTTGTTCTCTTTTCTTGCTAGCACAACCGAGGTTCGAAGATCCGATTCTAAACTCATTCGGTAGAGAATTTTCTGCTCTACAAAATCTATTACCTTCTTTCATTACATACTATTTCATTATTTTAAAAAACAGTGCAGAGTACTGACAGGTAAAAAGGATAACTGCGATTTCCCATCAAAATTTTGGTGGCTTTTTGTTTTTGTCTTAGTGACAAAATGTTAGGAAAAATTTTATTTCTCAATGCGGATTAATTAAATGAAGACAAATTCTTTACACACAGTACCTGGGATGAATATGTTAGGAAGTAGTTAACCTAATCTCATATCAATAGTTGTCATCTTTCAATATACATATTCTTATCGTCACTCGATGGTTATTTTCCCTTTCTGTTCTTCTGATATATGTATTCACTCTCTGCTTTT